TCGTCTCCTCCCCGAGACCCCTCTGCAAGGGGATTATATTTTATTGTGAATTAGGTGAGGGGGGTTACATTTCAGGTCATCGTTTTTTTGTACAATAGCTGTCCTTGTGTCCAGTCAGCCAATCATCTTCATCATCTGTCCTTAGCCACCCCATCCTCTGCCACCACCTGTCTTTCCCCACTTCTTGCTCTTGTAGGATATTATCTTCCCCTTCACCCAAGTCCACACTTAGCTAGCTCTCCTCCAGTCCATAGCTCTCCCTTCCCCCCATAACCCTCAAAGTATATTCATTTTCTTATTAAACCTTTACCTTGGTTCATTTCGTATATGTATTTTTATATACATCTATATATAGTTTTTATGTAGTATATATATAAATAGTGGGTTCATACAATATGTGACCTTTTGTGATTGACTAACTTCACTCAGTGCTACAAATGTATCCACGTTATGTGTTTCCTAGTTTCAAGGTCAGTGTTGTGTAATACGCCATTGTGTGGATGGTACTAGTTTATTATTTATCCATTCTCCAGAGGGCATTTAGAGGCTTCCATCTGTTATGGTGAACAGTGCCGAGAAGAACGTGGTTGGCCCTCATTTCTTTAGAGGACATACAAATAGAGGGGCTGCTGGGTTGTGCTGTGTCTCTATTCCCAGTTGGTTGAGGGAGTGCCATGCCACTCTCCACAGTGGTTGATTTTGTTGCTCTTTTTCTAGTTGCTGAAGATGTTATGTTAAGGTGTTGATTTGGGGTCATCCTTGTTCATGTGTGTATGTTATAAATTGCCCTTTGGGTACTGCTTTTACTATGTTCCTAAGATTTTGATACATTGTATTTTCATTCTTTGTTTTAAGAGTCTCCATTTCTTGATTTGGAAAAGAGGGATTGAATACAGATGTAATTTAATATTTCAGGTCTAGAAATTATCTAATCTTTAATTTCCCTTTAGTAATCATTGGCCAAGTATTCATTGAGTTCCCACGGATACTGTGGTAGGACTGAGAAGAACATCCGTGAACAAGACTTCTTCGTTGAATTTAGTAACACTGGGGGATTGAGAGTCTACTACCAAATCATTATAATACTCTGGAAATGTGTTTAGTATTTTACTATTGTTCTCCTTTACAGATGGTGAAGAAAGCCAAGACGATGATGAAGAAGGCTCAGAAGAAGATGAATCGCTTGGGGAAGAAAGGGGAGGCTGATAGGCACGTGTTTGATATGAAACCCAAACACTTACTTTCTGGAAAGAGGAAATCTGGTAAAAAAGACAGGAGATAGTGTCTTTTTCCATTGAAAGTGCTTGACTGAACTGTGGAGGGGGGTTGTTTCTTTTGTTTTGATATTTGTTTGGGTTTATGTATAGAAATATATACAAAACAATACTTAGTATTTTAATCACGTTTTAGTTAACTACATTCTTGCTCTCGTTTGTTTTTGGTTTGCTTTGGTATTTCATGAAGTTTAGGGTAAAGATCATAAGTTGGAAGTAACTTGTACTAACTTGTACTTGTTGCTTTGCTGAAAATCATGGTTAACTTTTAAGACTTCAAGTGTGATGAATTTTTTGTTAGACCTTAATATTACAAATAGCAAATATATAATTATATTACAAATAGCTGGAATGGACGGTGGATTTTACATTTAGTAGAGTTTCAATGCTTCAGAGTCACAGAATTGGAAAGACATACCAATGTAATAATGCTTTTAATGGAGAAAATCTTTTCTTCTGCAAGGGGAACCTTTGTCCCCCCCACACAAATGGTTTCTTTGGCAGGAAACACTTGTGTGTTTTAGGGAACTGCTGGCTACCAGGGATGTGTGCCCTGGGCTCGTGCGGGAATGGTGGCGATGAGTGTATTGGGACCTCAGAGCTTCAGGTGCTCTCCTGAGTTAGTTGTTAGTTTTGTACAATATATTCATTGTAAATCTGTCCTCCAAAAAAAAAAAAAAATCTGTCCTTACCTCTTTTTTCCCCCAAAGCATAATATTTTATTTAGAATAAAATTTTACATAAGCACATTAAATGTGGGTATCTCCTGCTTTCTTTGTCGTGGGTGAAAATCGGGTCTGTTCAATAAAGCACACCCTCGGCGCTGCTTCTTGGTGCCTTATGTTCTCTATTATTTTTTAATTTGAGAAATTATGACGTTTGCTCTTACGAAGCCATTTCCTAAAATGTATGTGAAACACAGTGAGATGTTAAATTTCATGACTGCCTAACAGCCCAATTCTAGCATTAGCCTATACGAAACTAGAAACTAGCATGCAACTGTCAGTCAGTTCCTATGCTAAGGCTGATGCCCTTCAAAGTACACCGGGGCATTGTTCTACTGGACCTGGAATTTAATGGTTGCACCCAGGTTGGAAACATTGCATTTTGGGACAAGAAGTAAGGTTTTCATATACTGAAAGGAGTTGATATTAAAAGATGACTTTAACCGGCAGGATCCAATTTTTAGGCCTTTTTCTCTGACAGGATGGAGTTGTGTCTTTAGAAAATTCCTCACTGTGGTAAGCTCATGATTGTTCTTGGAATGTGCCTGAAGTACAAATATCTCTCCACCTGCATCTTAGAAACACTACAGTTTCGTTTCTGACTCCAGATTCCCATCGGAAACAAGTTCCCTTCATCCTCACCCTTAATGATAAAGTGTGATAACTCATTCCACAAATCTTCCATAGTTATTTACCATTGTTTCAGATTTTCTACTACTTCTAGAGCAGGTGTTATTAAATCAAATTATCTCAAAAATTTGTTTAATAAATTCATGTCCATTAGGTAAAAATATAATGACTTATCATTTGTTTTAAAGTTGTTTCAGTTTTTAATATTTTCTGCTTTCTTTTTGATTGAGGTCTTTCTTTTTTCTCTTCTTTATTAAAATTCTTGTGTATAATTTTCTGTATACAAAATCCAGCATAGTTGATCTATAATAGAGACAGTAAGTGGATTAATAATTATTAGGGGACATGGTAAGTGAGGTTAAGAGGAAATTGAGAGCTAACAATAAATAAGAGGAAGAAGAAAATGTTCTAAAATTGCATGATAATTGCACAACTCTTGAATTTTAAGATATGTGAATTATATGCCAATAAAACTCTTAAAAGTTTATTCAGTGTTATTTTATATAATAAATTGATACATAGTTTTGTTACAATCAAAATTATTCTTTATAATTCTGCATTTCTAAAACATTCTGAAGTAATGCT